GCCCAACGTAAGATACAATTGTAATGTGGTAATTAATAAATATGAAGAATATGATGGCATATTATGCTCTCTCTTTTTTAATTTTAATTCTTGAATTACTATTATTATAATATATTATTATTCGTATACCGTTGAACTACGAACAAAAATTCATTATTGGTTTATTAAAAAAAGGAAGTTGCATATAAGAGGTAAGATACCTTTAATGGGGGAGATATTTAGTGAAAATCGTATGGACTTGGTCTAAAATAGATAATATTAATTATTTTAGTGTGAGGATTTTAATAAAAACCGCTAAATGGATAATATTACGAATAGAATTATAAATGGTCAATTTTCAGCCCTTATAATTGAATTTTGAATATCTTGGAGTTTCAAATTCCATAATTAAACTGAAAAGAAATTATCATAGAGTTTTAACAATGAAATTTAAAACTCTATATATAATATTGATTAATTTTCAATCTCAAATTGAAAAGTGACTAGACCGTGCTACTACTATCAATATTACATTGTGTTAAGACTTCTTTTAAAGCTAAATGAAACCAACATATTTTTAACTTAAACCAACATATACTTCCTCCGATGCTCTATTTGTCCTATATTTTGAAAATCAACTCGATTCATTTTCAAAGTTAAACATGAATTAGATGAGTAATTCAATATTTTATATTTAAAATTTAAAATTTAAATATTCAGAACTTATCTATAATTTTTAACTTTTCTCATGTTAATTTTAGGAGAAAACATATTTTTTAATTAAATGCTAGTCAAATCTCACAAAATTTAATTCTCGAAAAAATAAAACATGACAATTAATATGCGACATAAATAGTATTATTTTTATTTATATAAAAGAGAACAACAACCAAGCAAGAGTTTTATATGTTGATTAAATTAAATCTTGCTTAATCCACCAACCAAACAAGCACTAATCTTCTTTATTGCTTAATCCACCAACCAAATATCAATCAAGCTCTAATCTTGTTTATATATCTTTTCCATACATTTATCCAAACAAAAAAAAAATATCCAAACAAAAAAGTCAACAAAATTCTCTCCAAATTTTCCAAGATGATCACCATAGCAACAGAACAAAAAGTCATAGTAAAAGTTGAATCTCCAACATCTGAATTTCTTGTTGAAATAAAAGGAAGTGACAAAGTTGAAGAGTTAATCAAGATTGTGAAAAAAGCATGGGGAAGTGATTATATGTTATTAAGGCATAATTCTGTTGAAATGAAAGTTGATGAGAGTTTATCTAAATATGATGTTAAAGATGGTTCAATTATCAGAGTCAATGTCTTTGCTGAAGCTCCTTGAAAAAAAACAAAAAATTGTAAGTGATATGAACTTATAATTTGTTTTAATTTGTGAGATGTGAATAATATATGTTGTTACGTGTGGGTTCAATTTGTTGTTTTTAGCTTGATATGTAGATACGACTGTATCTAAAAGAAATAACTTTTGTTTGTTGAACTCATTCTGAATTCACTAGTTATAAGTTTTTCGATTCATTTTTATGTGTTAGTTGAGAATTTTATGTTGAAATCATGTTATATGCATAGACAGATTCAAGATTTTGAAGTTTATTGATGGTAGATTATATTCTTTTAGAGTTTGTGACTATTAGACAAATATATATGTTTCTAAGGCACAATTTTGTTGAAATGAAAGTGGATAAGATTTTATCTACAATGTTAAAAGATAGTATTTGTTATCAGAGTCAAAGTTTTTGTTAAAGCTTGAAAAATTATAATTTGTAAGTTATAATATATTATGTATAAATTGTTTTAATTTTAGGGCTTAATTTGTGGTGATGATTGAAAGTTTCTGATTTAATTAGAGAAGTACTTGAGGAGTGTTAATGATGATGGATTTATTGTCGGTGTATTAAATTCAATACTTGTGGAGTGTTGTCAATAGTGAATTTAGAGTGCACTCGATTCGATCAAATTTATTACTTTTGGCTTAATTCATAAGTTTATATGTTAGAAGAAAATTACGCTTGTGTACGTAAATTTATTGAACTCATTGAGTAGTTATAAATCTTTGTTTCGTTCTATTTATTAATGAGCCTTTATCTATTTATGATGTTAAGATGATTTTATCATCAGAATCAATGACTTTGCTAAAACTCCTTGAAAAACTATAATTTGTAAGTCATATATGCATGTAATTTATTTTTCTTTTAGGGGCTTAATTTGTGGTGATGATTGAAAATTTGTAATCTAATTAGAAGTATTTGTGGGGGTGATGGCAGTGGTAAATTTAGTGTGGGTGTACTTGATTCGATCAAATTAATTACTTTTGGCTCGATTTATTATAAGTAAGAAGAAAAAATAAACTTGTGTATGTATGTTTTAGATGTGTGCGCTCTTTCTTTGTTGATAGTTGAAAAGAGCGAGAAGATTATATATAAGGTTTATGATGTAAAGTTCAGAGAAACATTTTTGAAAAGAAATTGTATTTTATGAAAAGAGAAATTAGATCAAGTAGAGCTAGGAATGACAATGGGGCGGAATAGGGCGGATGCAGAGGGGATGGTTATAAGGTTGTGCGGGGCGAAGTAGATATGAGACAGGTTGAAGTAATTTTTTTAAAAACTAATGAGGGGCGGGGAGGTTTTAAGGTTGTTCGGGCAGATGCTTGGCAGGTTGAAGTAAATTTTTTAAAAATTGGTGCGGACGAATTGTGGGTCTATGCGATTTTATGCGGATTCAAATTTAATTTTAACTTTTTACATATTATAAGAGTGATAGAGTACACTTCAAGAGTAAGAGTAAACAAATTTCATGACAAATTCATTATTTTTTATTGAAACTAATATTAATTGAAAATCCTTAAAGTTACTAAAATACTCAAGATAGTAAATGAAAAAGTTCAATCAAAGCTTATAAGTTTCTTACCTGCTTCCCAATTGACTTTTAAAAAATAAAATTTTAAGTCATTATTTATTAATGCAACTTAATGAGAAAAAGAAAAATATTGAAAAATTAATACGGAGCCAGTTCATGCTGGCGGATTTATGCAGGGCGAGTTGAAAATGAAAAATATTCTTGTGCAGGCAGATTATATTTTTTACAGGCTAACCACAATTCACCCCACACTACCTCGTTACCATCTCTTAGTAAAGCGGATTAATCTAATATAATTTATTTTGATCCAAACAAATTTTAAATAAATTAAAACTTAATTTATTTGGATTAAATCCGCCTAATTATCACTTCAAAAATCACATGGGAAGAATATCTCTGTTTGATAAATATGCGTACAATAATAAATATTTTAAAGCAAAAGATAAAAACAAAATTAAACTAAAAATGATGTGGCAGATAACATTTGATTGGTTGAAATAGATCATTTGAACACTTTGAATCTTTGCTTGTTTTCATTATACTTTATTATAATTATAACTTAAATTTCACGTCAAACTATCACATATAAAATAAAATGACAAGAATAAATAGCTTTTTTTTTTTAAAAAAAAAACATCAAATATTTAAAACAAATTTAATTTTATTGAAATTGTGATAGTCCTCATAAGGTAGGGTAGGCCCTCAAAATTAGTACTCCCTCTATTTTAATTTATATAAAAAAATTTAATGTACCTCAAAGACATTGACATTTTTTCATATCTAAAAAATAAATTGAATATTAAATTCTTATTAGAAATTCTATTCTTAGTGTACTGTAATTGTCCTAAAAATATATATGAAATATTTTAGAATATTAAATTCTTAGAAGTCGTTTGACAAGTTGGATAAAATAAAATATTTTGGGATTATATTTATACTATTTTTCATATAAATTTGTACTGTCAATCAAATATAATATAAATCTTATTATTTTTATTTGTCTATTATTTCAAAAATAGATCATCACTTTTAACATATAATGAAAAAAAAAATATATTACTCAAGAAACGTGCAAAGTTTTTCAAGACCTAATACCACACAATAATTAATATGAAGATTATGATAAAATCTTCCTATCAAATCATTATTACTCAAGAGACGTGCAAAATTTAAAATGAACAACAAAAAATAAACGGAATGAACATCATACCACTTTCCCAAAAAAAGAACAAATTACTACATAGATTACAAATCCATCATAATAACCCTAAAATAAATCAATCCCCAAATCAAACAAACCTTTAGAACTCGTTTGATACAATGGACAAAGAATAACTAAGTTCAAAATTAATTTTAAAATGATTTTATCCCATGTTTGATTCAAATAAAATTGTAAAAACAACTTATTCCAAGAGTATAATGTTACTCCATTCGTTCACTTTTACATGTCACAATTTGACTTGACACACTCATCAAGAAAATAATTATCGATACATGTATTTTACCAAACTATCCCCTATTAAATGATGTCTTGAAAAATGATTTGGAAAATAAATATTTAATATTGAGGGTAAAACATGGAAAAAAATAATTGTCTTTTCTTGATATGTCAAAAGTGACAAGTAAAAATAAAAATCTATTTTTGGAAGGGAAAATGGACAAATATACCTCCCAAACTATCATAAATGGTATGCAGATACCCTCCGTCATACTTTTGGGACATTGGTGCCCCTACCGTCCAAAAACTAGATCATATATACCCTTTACTCTAACGGAAGACTAAATAGGGGCACATGGCACAATCTTATCAGTCGATCCGATATTTAATAAATGTCAGGTCGGTAGATAAGATTATGACACGTGTATGTTCGCTAGTATAAATGGTATATATGTTCTAATTTTTGGACGGCAGGGGTACCAATGTCCCAAAAGTATGACAGAGAGTATATGCATACCATTTACGATAGTCCCAAAAGTGAACAAAGAAAGTATTTTTGTCCCACATTAAAGACAAAATATAACAACGATCCTGAAATAACTTATTATCGCCTAACAAAATTCCATGTCCAATCAAACACGCATAAATTGAGAGTGGGGGTGGGGGTGAGGGGGGACCAATTAATAAAGTAACCTAATTTAAAAGACCAAAAAAAAAGGGGTTAAGTTAGGTAGTAACAAAAAAAAATTAAAAAAAAATGTTATCTTCTTCTTCATCATCATCAACAAATCCATCTCTCCGGGTAAAAATTCCGGTGACCGGAGAAGGAAAATTGACGATACATGTGAAATCTCCGACGTCGGAGATGTATACAGAGGTTAAAGAAGCAGATAAAGTGAAAGATTTGGAGAAATTGATTAAAAAAACATGGGGAGATAATGATAATTATATATCACTTTATTATAAATCAATTAAAATGAAAAGTGATCATTTATTATCTTTTTATAATTTGAGAGATGGCTCTATTATTACTGTATCTCTTCTTGCTGAACCTCCTCCTCATCATCATCGTCTTCATCATCAATCGGTACGTGTTTAGGATAATTTTCTTTTCTCTCGAGCTCACTTTTTTTAGAATTTTTTTTTTTTATTGCTAGGGTATTCTATTTTTGATTGTTTTTATCTTGAGTCGAGAATCTGTTGAAAACAATCTCTCTATCACTAAGATAGTGATAAGATCTGCATAAATTCTACCCTTCTCATATCTTATTTCGAAAGATTATAAGAAATTTATTGTTATTGTTATTGTTGTATTAAATTGTATTATCTTGAAATGTAGTAATAGTAGTAATTAAATGGTATTTTGTGAATATTTATAAGCAAAGTGATGAAAAACATATTTTAAATAATTAAAAATTAGATATATTTAATCAGATATGATAATATTCAAAACTAAAATCCATTAGTAAATGAGGGACCAAAAATGCTATTAACCATTTTCTTTAAAAATAATTGCATCTTTGGTCTCTCAATTATTCATGATTTTTTATTGTAGTTTTTGTGATATTTGAGGAAATATATTTGGTATGCTATTAATTAAAACACTTGTTTTTAGTTATTTTATATAGAAAATATGTTTGGACTATTTATAGAATTATTTTACTATAAAACATGGAGTAATAATATAATATATGAAAAACAAAATAGTAGAATAGTTGATAATTATGATAAATTGGGTAGATATTCCATCAATAAAGAAATCAAAGCAATACATTTTAAATAATAGAAAGTTAAATATTCTTAATCATATATCACAAATACTGAAAATATAATTTATCAATAATTGAGATACTAAAAATATTATTACCCCCTTTTTAATTTGGAAAATCTTGAATTCCTTTTACTTTTAGTTAGTTCATTTTACCAAATTTGTTGAGAATTTAATTTTTCAATTCAGAAATTAATTGATACAATTTAGATTGCAGCATGTGACCCACTTATCTTATCTTATCCAATTAATTAATTACTTGGTTTTTATTTCTTTTCCTTATTTTGTCTTCACATGTTAATTTCCAATATATTTTTTAAAATTATTAAAGGTGCAAATTCTCTTGATTTTGACATTGAGCCTTATGTATATGAGATTTATAGTTGATTGAAATAATGAGAATTTTTTTTCCATACCCAAGAACTATCATGACAAAAAAGGAAGAAAGAAAAACAAAAATCCTAAGTAGATGATAAACAATTTAATGAATATCGATGCGTTTTAATTACGGTTCATGATTTATGTTGTTCGTATTCTTAAAATTATCATAAAAGCGTATAAATTACTTAAAATATAATATATTTTAATTTTTTTTTGACACTAATACAACAATATTTTTTAAGGAAAAATCCTTTGGCCAGAATGGTATTTTACCTATGTTATTTTACTTTTTTGAATATTTTTACCTTTTTTAACTTTAATACCTTTGAACTAAAAAATGGAAAAAAGATTAGTTTATTTTAAAATAAAAAAAATATTATACACTTTTTAAATTTCTTGTCAAATTTTCTGGCCATTTAGCATTATCCTTTTTAAAAAGTCCAAATAATATAGTTATACATCAATGAACTTCTAGTTGATTGCAATTTTTAATTGAGAAATATCTTGTTTAGGATTTGCTTAAATTTCAAATTTCTCAACTTTGGAATTTGGAAATTTGACCAAATGTACTTTGACTAAATCAACTATTTGCCCTTTCAGATTTTTTTTTTTTTAAAATTCTTTCTTTAATGTTGGTGTCTTGGAAATGCAGAAATCTTCATGTGAAACCAAAAAAAATGCCAAATTTCAAGAGGAAACAAGCAGCAGCTCCAATGGTGAAATTAATGGTTGTGAAAGCTTTTTATTTCATATGGCAAAGATGTCATCTCAATTTTGCTCTTCCATATTTTCAACCCATTAATTTATGGATCGGGGAGAAGCGGAAGGAGTTAGAAGTATGAATCGTCCTTTATTCTAAGATATAGTCGATTTTAATATATCAAAATCGTCAATAAAATCGAGCTAATATGTCATTATTATCGACATTAATTAACTAAACCTCCTAAGATTTTAGGTGAGCTTTTTTCTAGTTTTTTAAGGTTTATAGGATTCATCTTTTTTTTAAAGTTATTTGTACTCTTATAAGATCTATTAGTCTTCATTTGGAGTCTCTTTGGCATTTAAATATTTTGAAAGTTAAAAAGGGTGAGAAACATATAAAATATTTTATCTTTTGAGTTTCATATTTGAAATTCAAATTATCAGCTATGTGAGTTTTCCATTTTAATTATTCTCAAATGTTTATCAAAATATTTGATAATGTAACTCACACACCTTTGTAATTTTATTTTTTTCAATTGGGTATCTTAACCTAAGCTCAAGTATGTCTAAATATATATACACACGGTGTTGATATGATAACTTGCGATTACAAAAAAAAAACTATCAAACATGATTTATTATATTAGTTTTAATAAATGAATAATCTCATTCGTAACCAACAACCAAACGGCCCTCAGAGTAAAATCTTAAATTTAAAATTAAAGAGTTTTTAGTATGAAGCATTTTTTTTCCGAATTAACTATAATTGAAAAGGTGTCATCTAAAATAAAAACAATAGTACAATTTTCATTTTCCATTATATAAACAAGGGAAAAGGGACAAATATACCCCTGAACTTTCGAAAATAGTATGTCAATACCCTCCGTTACACTTTTGGTCCATCAGAGCCCTTGCCGTCCAATAATCAATGCACATTTACCCCTCCCACTAACGGAACACACATTGTGTACACGTGGCGCAATCCTAGACCACAACCCGGATTGACCAATTTTTTAACCCGAATTTCAAAACCCGCCCATAACCCATTTTAAACCCACAAATAAACTCAATAAAATCCTAAAGAAAAATGGAAATCCTTATTGAATTCATCAACATGAACCCTGATAGGATCCTTATGAACATTAACATCATTTTTAATCCTCTTCGCATTTTGGTGATCCACATACGGCACCGCCGGCAACGGTGGTGAAGGTGACGGCGGAGGCCGAAACCCACCCCATCCGTTATTTACTGTGAGGATGATAATAAGGAGGATACTGATTTTGATAGACTACAGATCTAGTACCATAACTGGACTGGCGGAAACTAAAGTGGTAATTCGAATTGGAAGGAGTCGGGTAGTTGGGTGGGGGAGGAGGGGTTAGTATGTCAAGGATAAGGGTTGGGGGAAGGGGGAGGTGTTATAGAAATTCCCAATTTTTTTCTTCCTTGCAAGAAGCAGAGGAACAGTAAAAGAAGAAGTTTGAAGAAATCAACAGAAGAATTAGGAAGAAGAACGATGGAAAATATGGGACCCACATGGTTAAGGGAAAGTGATTAAGAAGTTAAGTTGTTGAAAAAATAATTTCAAAAATTAAGTTTTACCAAAACAATCCATTAATTAATAAGAGTATTACGATAAATTTTTTATTACAATCGTATTTTTTAAAACGTGTGTAAAGTTTAACGTAAATAAATAAACTTTTTAGGATTTTTCCCTAGGATTTTAGAGAGTTTATTTGTGAGTAAATTGGGTGGGTTAAATGGGTTATGGACGGGTTTTTGAAATTTGGGTAAAAAAATTGGTCAATCCGGATTGTGGCCTAGGATTGCGCCACGTGTACACAATGTGTGTTCAGTTAGTGGGAGGGGAAAATGTGCACTGATTATTGGACGGCAAGGGCTCTGATGAACCAAAAGTATAACGGAGGGTATTGACATACCATTTTCGAAAGTTCGGGGGTATATTTGTCCCTTTTCCCTATAAACAATGTGGTAAAAAAGATGAGAAATCCCAAAAACAATTGTGACATTCAAGGCTTTATTACAAAAGTAGCCATATAATGTAGATTAAGTTTTAAAAAATAGCCATTTTTGTTTTGGCCATTACATCCTCAACAAACAAATCAAAGTTTTTCTCTGAACTTCCATTGGCTAATAATGCAATTTCCATAGTTTTTTTCACTTCCTTTATAACCTTCCTCAAATCTTTTGAATTTTCTTCACTCATAAGAAAATTAATCTTTTTTGCTATTTCCTCCTTTGTAATAATTGATTTGTTATTAATATCATAATTATCACAAAGATTAATCCCAACTTTCCAATCATCAACCACCAACTTTCTATTAGTTTGTTGATCAACACTTATAGGATGACATATCATTGGTACACTTGCCCATAAACTCTCCAGAATCGAATTCCATCCACAATGTGTCAGAAACCCTCCAATTGCCGAATGCGACAATACGGCCCGTTGATCACACCACGGTATGATCAACCCTCGATCTATATTTTCTTGAAATCCAGCTGGTAAATAATTATCCGTTTCGTTCGTAATCACCAAATTAGGTCTAAGTACCCAAATAAAATATTCCACTTTGCTAAGCAATAATCCTTGAGCAAATTCCATAACATCTTCTTTGCTTAGACTACACACGCTACCAAGTGAAAAATATAATACTGAGGATTTAGGTTTAGTGTTTAGCCATTCCAAACAATTTGACTCTGGCCAAAAACTTTTGGAAATTTTGACATTTTTTGATGAGTTGACTTGATGATCATGAAAAATTGGACCAATAGCAAAAAAGGGTTTTTTTGTTTTTTCTTGGAATGTTGAAATTACTTTGGATTCAAGTTCTTGTATTGTGTTACAAATTATAATGTCTGATTTCTTGGCTTCTTCAAAACCTTTGTAGATAATTTGATGAAGAATAGTTGATGTCTCTTTTGTTTGTAAATATGAAGGTAAATCACTTGGATCAATTGCTGAAATTCCTGGTATATAATCTATGGTATCCTTTCTATTATCTATATAAAAAAAAAATAGCAAAAGTTAGCCTAGTAATCAACATCGTGATGAAGTTAATTAAACATAGATAATGTAAGGTTTTTTTTTCCATATATAATAACCATGGGGTATTCGGAATCTACTGATCAACTAATTCAGATCCGATTCATGTAGACCCTAGCAAAGGGAAAGTGGAAATCAATGTGCTTGAACATTAGGCCTTTAATTTGGTTAAGAGTAGAGGGATCTCGGATATCTCACTCACACCCCAGTGTAAAGTATTTTTACACTATCAATATATTTTAACGTGTTATAGCAAATTTGGTTTGTTTAACTTTTTAGTTTACTAATCAAATTTATTGTAAGGAATTTTTACACTACACAATAGTTCAACAGAAAATTTCCGGTAGGAGTGACTTTATAGGATAATAGACCAAACATTAATGGTTTTATTGTCACGAAAGAAACAAAGTGACTTTACTAGGTAATTTCTATAAGTTAGATGACCGTACTAGTAAATAACTCTACTTGAAATTGTCTGCTATATTGCTCGGGCTCTCACAAAATGTCGACATGTGTGTGTCGGATCCTCCAAAACCAATTCAATATAGAGGATCATAAATGGATACGACAACATTTTTGACAAGTTTGAACAACATGACAAAAGGGGATAGAATGAAACTTACCAATTGAGCCAAAATGACCATTTTTGAGCAAAAGGTCAAGATGATAGTCTATAGTAAACACCAAAGCAGGTTGAGTGAAGAATGAAACACTAACAAGTCCATACTTATTAGCAATTGTTGTCCCCCAACCATAGAAAGTGTCAACAATCAAACAAGTTGGTCTAGGACTATCCAATTCTACTAACTTCCCAATAATTTCATCAACATGAAAAGGGTAATTTAGTAAAAATCCTTCCAAAACTTCTCGGTATTCGACCTCGAAAATCGATCGAATTCTAAGGAAAAACCATCACAAACTGTTTGATAATGTATGTCAAGGCCAAGTTCTTGAAATTTTGCAAATATGTTATGAGTTTGGTCTAATTGTTGTGATTTGGTTATTTGGGCATGGGTGTACTTTGTGTTGATAAATGTTATGGTAAAGCCTTTTGTTGCAAGTTTTAGTGAAAGGTGAATACTAGGATTTATGTGGCCTTGAAATGGGCATGGAATTACTATTGCATGAGGTTTTTGGTTGCTTTTTGCCATTGTTGTTTTTTGATTCTTCTTGATAAGGCTACTCTTATATATAATCTCTCTTTCATTACAAATAATGAGGGTGTAGAAGAATATACTTTATTTGCTACGCATTTAATTGAACTCAATATTTTCGATAAAAATACTAAGATTTACTTTTTTTTAAATGTGATGAGATGAATGAGATTTCTACACTCACTACTTTAAATATAATCTTTAGCTGACGGTAATAGCTTAATTGTCGCTAAATATGTATTTTTAGTGATTATTAACATTTTTTGTAAATGTCTCTAAAGCCTATAGCGACACTAAATCAAATGGCAAACTAATGACAATAAAGATTTTAACAATTTTTGATAATGTAGACATTTATTACCGTTAAAAGCTATTTTGTTACAGTAACTCTTAATCAACGGTAGATGTTCGAGCCTTGAATTTGATCTCAATCATAATTTCCTACTCTAGAGGAAAAGCTACTTTCATTTTGGACCTATTGGTTTGTAGGCACATGCTCTAATCTTTTTGAGATATCGACCCCACCTAGTTTCCACTAGATTTGTTTACAAGAATACCCTCCAAACAAAAGAATCGCAATTTCTGATAAGAAGCAATTCTTTCTTAATTGAATCAACTAATTTTAAATATCAAATGTTTAAATAAAAGAATCACTAAAATTTAATAAGCATTATATTTTGAATTTATAATTTTGAAAATATAATATATTTAATATTACAGATTATAAAGGTCGAACTCAATCAAATTAAAATTTTGAATAGATGCACACCTAATTCTAGTTGATTGAGTCTGAGGGATTGCTAAAAGTATATAATAAGACAATAAAATGTAACTTTCTGGTAGATAATGAATTGACCCCAAGCCGGCTAATTATTGCCTTTTATTATTTCAGAGAAAAAATAAATTTAGGCAGTTGA